GTTTAGCTCCTGTCTTGTGAGACTGTGGAAGCCAGTCAGAGTAAACAGTGTTAGCTAGCTAGAGAAATGATCTGACTTCTTAAAGATATGCTTCCACTTTCCTGTCATTTTAAAAGCATTTTTTAAAAATGGAGAGATGGAGAAAAGAATGCTAAATTCATACATGACATTACATCAGGATTTTTTAAATTATTGTCGGCTGAATTAGTTATAATGGCCTGGTTTGTGCAGCATGCTAATCTACAAAGCTTTGGTTTACTCATCATTTTTATTTTGATTTTTTCGTGCCTTCGAGTCCGTGTTGACTCCTGGCGACTGCCTGGACAAGTCCCTGCAGTTTTCTTGGCAAGGCTTTTCAGAGGTAGTTTGCCCTTGCCTCCTTCCTAGGGATGAGAGAGAGGGGCTGGCCCAAGGTCACCCAGCTGGCTTTGTGCCTAGGCAGGACTAGAACTCATGGTCTCCTGGTTTCTAGCCTGATGCCTTCACCAGCTCTGCAATGGAGTTGAGCAGCTCAGGGGGAGATGTCATGACATAGCAGGAGGCTGGTAGAACAGCAACAAACCCAACCGCTCGCTAGAGCCCACCTTCAACCACAAGATGCCATGTCCAGTTATCTGCAGCACTGCATCTCTGAAAGGTGGTAGGGCTTCACAGATGACAACTGCCACCTTGCTCCTCTACCCCAGGGTTGCGGCTGATGCCCAACTCAGACCCAGGTGGGTACATCTCAGAACGGGGAAGACCCCCACTCAGGCTCAGCCTGATCTCAGTTATATATGCCAGGCCAGCTGCCTCATCCGCTATCAAATGGTGGGAGAGACTTCATTGCTTTCATTGTTCTCTTTCTCTCAGGAGAGTCAGGACAAGCTCTTCCTCGTGAAACGGATTTCAGAATTGAGTCAGTGAAAGAAAAGAAATATATTCCACCTTTTTCACCTTATTCAAAAATACTTCAGGATATCACCAATGCTTTTATGTTACGGGTTTTTAAATTGTACTGCAGAATACGCTACCGTGGCCTCCAGGTTCCTCTGAAAATTGCTGCTCCATTATAATCTCTAAAATGACAGAAGGGAAAAATTATTAAATGAGGAGCAATTATATAATATTTAATTTTGGCTTTAATGAACTGGCAGCTGGATGACTTTGTACTCAGAAGTGAAGTGGGGTCAAATCAGTTCAGCACTTAGAAAGGAGACCTCTTGTAGAGATCCTTAACTTTGGAATACTGGAATCCCCTAAAATGATAATTTGTGCGACTCAAATAAAATTAATGATTTCCTCAGGATTTGGACTGGGCAAGACATAACTATGTCACTTATTAAATGATACCATATATACTTGCATATAAGCCCATTCACAGATAAACCGACTCTTGAATTTTTAATCAAAATACCATGAAAAATGTGCCACCTGCGGATAAGCCAACTCTTGAAATTCTTGTTTGTTTGTTTGTATATCCTGCAAATATATATGGGATATGCGGGCCCTTTAAAAAAATACAGTGGTACCTCGAGTTACGAACGCCCCTCCTTACGAATTTTTCGAGATACGACCAGCCCCGGCCCCAAAAATTTACCGCGACTTGCGAACTCCGCCTCGAGTTACGAACGCCCCTCCTTACGAATTTTTCGAGATACGACCAGCCCCGGCCCCAAAAATTTACCGCGACTTGCGAACTCCGCCTCGAGTTACGAACGCCCCTCC